AAACACACTGCTGAGGGGAGCAGCGGGCGAGACAGGAGAGGTCTCTGCGCCATGTGGGTTGCTTCCTAGCCGGCAGGGTTGAACTTGTGCTGCAAAGGCTGCGGACAGCCTCATAGCACAGTGCTTAACCCCTTGCGCCACCAGGGAGGCCCAAAATGTAGTTCTCTCTGATCCTACAATAACCGCAAGCTCTGTTCTGTCCCACAGAGCAGGAGAAGGTCAGAGGGCCCAGGGCAAGTGCCCAGTCATTAGGTACCGATTTCTCAGCTAGGGCCAGAGGTCCCATGGGATTAACTTAGTCTGAATTAGGAAGAGATGCACCTTCTGCCGACCAGGCACCCACCCGTGGGCACAGCCTGGGAAGGGGCTGCAGGCTGCACTTCAGCATCCATGGGCCACCTTGCCATCACCCTCTGTGTTGTCATGTCTGGCTTCCTACCTCCATCTGCCAGACCTGGCCCTTGGGCCAGAGCTTTGTCCACAGTAAACGTTAGAAGGGAAAATCTTTCTTCCCCAGTCCTTGTCTTTTTTAACCAGCTGCTCTTGAGTATCATACTGCCTCCCTCCCAACATGAGCTGTTTTCCCAATCAGAAAATCCTCTCCAGGAAAATTACTCAAAGATTTCCTTCCATCCCCCAAGTCTAATCTCAATCAGTAGACTCCAGAAGTTTCCCAACTGGGTCAAGTCTCTCCCACTGGGTCAAGGCCCTCCCACTGGGTCAAGGCTCACCTTTCTAACTCCCCACTGATGTCCAGGACAAGTAACTGCTGCCCTCTGGCCTTCTGCAGACCAGCCCAGTGCCTCTACCTACCTCCTTAAGCTTCCTATGATATCTCACACCCAAAACATGACGAGGTGGCCTTCCAAAAGTTCTGCTCCGAATAAACGACCTAAAAATTCCTTGCTTGGGCATTCTAGGTAGACTCTGTAAGCCTGGGTGTGTTTTCTTAGATATATACATGAAATAAAAAACACAACTTAAGTTTGGAGGCAGCAGGATAGAGTGGAAGGAACCCAGCCTTTCCCATGTGATTGCGTAAGATCAGCCTTCCTATGTGTTTATATCCTCGCTGTGTTTAAAAAATGAGATGAACACTCATATTGGAGGATTGTGTGTTAGTTTTCTGGGTAACAAGATCCCACAAACTGGGTGGCTTAAACAGAAGAAAGGGCTTGGCTAACAGTTGTGGAGACCAGAGGTTTGAAGTCTAAGGTATTGTCAGCCTTGGATCTTTCTGAAGATCGTGAGGGAAGGCTCTCTTCCTGGCTTGAAGTGGTTGTGCTTGCATTCACAGAACTTTCTCTCCCATGCATGTCTTTGTGTCTAAATTTCCTCATACAGGCTACCAGCTCATTGCTTCTCGACCTTTGACTAAGAGCAAGTGTAAAGGCCAACAGTCCTACTGGACTGGAACCCACACCGATGAACTTATCTTATTCTAATTACCTCTCTGAAGACACGATCTCCAAATAAGGTCACACTCTGATGTACTGGGAGTTAGGAATTGAACAAATCACTTTTGGGGGGAACACAGTTCAACTCACAACCAGTTATTAAAAGAATTAAATATGGTATTTGATCTAAAGCACCTAAATCCTAGATTGTAAGAAGTACTTAGTAAGTAGCAGGTATTATACTTGTGAAGGGTTTTGTCTCTGTTCCTTTGGAATGATCTGAATAGATGGCTTCTGAATACTCTCTGGAATGCTGGACATATAGACAAAGGGTCTATGTGGGGAAAATATATAAAAACCCAGAAAATATTAGACATATGAACCAATGATTAAAAATAAAATATTTCAAGGGATGCTTATGTATATGTTTGGGGTGGGGGCAGGGGGGAAGATCAGGAATTTGGAATAAATGATGAATAGAGGTCATAGAATTTAATTGTCCAGACTGATTGATTCTGAATTCATACTCCATTTTACTTCACTTTGGAGACAAAGATAGAATCTGTTTACCCCTGAACAACGTAATTTGTGCCGGAAACAGAATCATTGTTTTAGAGCAAAAAAGGGTCATTAGAGAATTAACCACTTGGTTTTAATGATAGTAAAACTCAAACCATCATTATTCTGCAAACAGCATTACTCAGAAAATGCTTAGTAGAGGAACATATTTAAGTTTCTGTGGGATTTAAAAGTGGTACATTTTGTGGCACCTTTGGTTTCAGTGTGTTATTTGAAGAGAAATCATCACTGTTAATAAAACTAGAAAGGAAAAAATCATGTTTGTTCCTTATGAAGAGGGATGTTTCGTTTGATCTTGAACTTTTCCCTTCAGGTTTGATCTTGAACTTTTCCCTCCAGGATATCCTTCAAGGGCTGGGTAACTAAGACAGTGCAATGGAATGCAAGCCGAGAGGGTGCTTCAGGAAGATCAAGGGTTATTATGTAAGAATCTGGTCTCCATTAAGAATAGAACAAGAGGAAATATGTTTGATTTGCAGAAGGAAGAAGTTAGGCTAGATCCAAATACTCTCTGTGTTGGTAATCAGTAAGATAGATGCCCAAGAGAGACTAAGTAATACCATTCCTAGAAGATCTGTAAAATTATGATAGAAATTGAATTATTAATAGTTTTCAGAAATAATGAGTTATAAATATCCTATTCAGCATATGAGATGACACTACCCTACCTAGTTTTCCAAGATCACTTATTCATTCCTAAATTATTCTTTTGTTTACTCAATTCAATGAAATAATATGTTTATATTAAAATGGATGATTCAGTTTGATTAAATTAATCAATTTGACGGTTGATTTTGGGTGTTATGAAAGAATGGTTTGATAATTTTCCCACACAAGGATTTCCATTCAAGTCAAAGAGAAATAGAAAATGATGAGAATTTTAAATATAAGATTTAAGGCTAAATCCTGATTTTTCCAGGAAGAACCTACATTGGTTTGAGGATAAGGCTGTTTTTTTTTTTTTTTCTTTTTTTCTTAAATTCCTTCAAAGGTAGTTTCAAAGTACCTTTCTCATAAGGAAGAATTCACACTTCATGTTTTGTTTTGAAGACCACCAGAAAACTTTTGTACTGTGAGAGGTAAGCAGAAGGGGGAGCTATAACCTGTATTTTTATTGTTCCTGTTGATTGAGGCTAGAAGATAATTGCACAGATCATTTCAGTTGCTTACGTGTAAGTATAACCATCAAATAAGTTCATCTTCAGAAGTGACTACATATCTGAAGCATCTTCATCTGTAACAAGAACAGAAATAGTCAAAGTACAAATACGTGAAAAATAATGCCCAGGATATTTATTTTATAGCAATATCACTGACTATAGAATAGAATCTGAACTCTTACTACAAACCACACAGACATACTGAATAAAAATATAACAAGTATGCTTTTAAGTGCCAATAGTTAAGTAAGGGAAATACTTGAAGCTGATCTTTTTGACTGTTCTTGACTTGATTTTTTTTTGTCAGTCAGGCTAACAATGGGTATGAGTTTCAATGGTTATTAAAGTACAGGAGATGAATTTTTTGGGTCCATGAAGGGCATGAAATTGGACCTGAGACCCTCCAATAAAGACCCCTTTAATGACTGTGCATCTGGGAAAGGGGAGAACCAAAAATGTTGATACTCCCCAAAGAAAGACTTAAAAGAAATTCTTGTTTACCCTGATCTACTGCAGAAAGAGAAGGAAACTCAGAGAATCTGTAAAATCCCGTGAGCATCAAGCTGCCCTCACTCAAGTGTAGGGTTTGAGTCTACACAGCCTGCATAGCCTGGAATCGCCACAGAATAATATAAAAAACAGTCTTGGAGTGGAAAACAATACTGGTGTCCCAAGGAGGAGTAACTCAAAGCCTCTCTCAAAAAGACATATTTTCAACCAGATGCGTGGGATTTCTAGAAATAAAGTCCCATGAAATACGGAATCACAATTTTGAATTACAAAAAACATGAAGAAATAATCCCAAATCATCAGAAATAACAAGCAACATAATTAGGCCCTAAGAAATTCAGAGATAGATTTATGCAATATTTAAAATTGTTAAAGAGAAAAGGCAAACCCTGCTGAAATATTTACTCAGAATCAATTTGCAGGCCTACCAAGGGGTTAGTTTGTGTGCTCTCTCTTGAATAGTTTTACTTGTGAAATAACTCAGGGTCAGCGTTCTGCTTGTGGGCAAGAGGGGGCTCAGGGTTATTTTTAGAGCACTCCTTCCTGCAGAAGCAGGGGTTCCCTGAGCAAGCTGGGAACTGGGTGCAACTGCACCTTCAATTGTAGGCCATTGAGCAAAGGGTAGTTTGAATCTGTATTTCCATGTTCACTGTGAAGAGTGATCCATTTAGACCTCATTGTTCACACTGACAAAGTGGAAAGAAACTGTAAGTGCTGTAAAAAGCAAGTAACACTATGTCCCAGTCATAAAAACACTCCAGAATGATGGCTGCTCTTCAGTCCAGACTATTGTCCTTAGTTTATAACTGCTCTCATTAATGAAATCATTCTCCTTGATAAGATGCTTTATATTTTTCTAGTTGTTTCCTTGGTTTTTGTTTATTCCTATTTTACAGTTCAAAGGACATAAGTAATGATAGCATGACAATCCTCAAATATTTGTATTTATTTATGTATACAAGAACTGGGGTGTAGGCCAGGGGTGTGGGGGGTGGGATGTATGTGTGAGAGGATTCACCAGAGCGAGGAGCAGAACAGGGGATCTACTGAAATGCACTGCTGAGGGGAGCACCTGGCCGGACAGGAGAGGGCTGCTGCATGATGTGGGGTCAGCTCCCTGGCTTGGGATGAAACTCAGGCTGCAGAGGCTGCAGACAGCTTGATAGTGCTGGGACTTAACCCCTTGTGCCACCAGGGAGAGCCCGGAGGCTGATCTTTGAAGGGCTATGATCATCTCCATTTGTGTCAAAGTCGGTCACAGACCCTCAGAAGCAAGGCGGCTCAGGGCAGGTTCTGTTTCCGCCCTGACACCCTCTCTGTTTGCACTCCGGGCTCCGAGGGGGCGGCTGCGTCGATGCTGGATTCTGGATCCTCAGAGAACCGCAGTTGTGCCAGATGTGGGGGGGCTCATCAAGCCAATGAGAGGCGAAATAAACAAAAGCCCCGGGCCAGGGTCGGCAGTGAGTCGGCTCACCTCTTGCAAGGGTCACTTTTCTCTCTCTGTGAAAAATGAAATACAGGGCAGAGCAAAGCCTCGGGATTAAACAAACAACAACAAAACCAACAATTCCTGTGAAAAGAGTAAAAAAGGACAGCTCTGTGGCGATGTGCTCCTTGGTCTCTCCCTGTGCGCCTCCTTGCTGAGTCTCACAAAATTGAGGAAATCAAGAACTTTCTGCTCACCGTCAGGGAAAAGGAAGCTGAATCTACTAAAATCAAGAAAAATGAGGACAGGCTGAAGTTAAAGTTAAAGCAGCAGATAACTTACACCTGGGTTGCTGGAGACCTGGAGATGGCCGAGAAACTGAGGCAGATGCTGCCCCTTGGTCTCCCAATAAAAGAGCTGAAATGAACCCGATGTGTGGATTTAAATATATTATAATGTTTAGAAAATCAAATAAGCCAAAAACCAAATAGACAAATAAACCTTTAAGGGGCCAAACAGCTACTTGCTTTCTAATGGATCCAGGGGTCCATCTGTGGCATCCTGTTGGACAGGATCCCTGAGCTCCTTCCTGTGCAGTAGTGAGTGGGTCCTGGATTTGATCAGGAAATTCACCAGGCATGTGGCTTTTCAATAGTGGAATCTGTTGACACGACAAATCCTCAGCACATTGGGTGATTCAAGTGCACTTTCATAATTTGCTCGCATTTTCCCCCCTTTGTTATTTCCACATTCCACAAAAATCCATCCCTTCTCCCTGAATTATGTGCGGCTCAGGAATGATGCCGGTACCACCCAGAGAGGGCAACCTCAGCCTCGTGAACTCACAGAACCTATTGTTCCATCCCTTTCTTGCCCAGCCTGTCGCAGCAGCCCTGTCCTCCATCTGGGAGGGCAGGGAAATGACTCCCCAGAGAGCCATTCATCATGGTAGTAAATGTTCTGTGTTTTACGAAGTTCCATCAAAGTTCACCTAGGCACGGAGGCAAAACAATCGCTCTCTATGCATCCTTTTTCTGTGTCAACATATATACTGCCCATAAAAGTGCATGAGCTGTTTTGTGTGTGGTGGGTAAACTCGAAGCCGTGTGCACTTCTGCGCACACATTGTGTGGTCTGCCTTGCAGTGCATGTGCGCCCCCGACAGCCTGCTGGGGCAGCAAAGACGCCCCTCTTTCTGGCGAGCCGCCACCCGCCCAGGCTCCCCATAGATGCTCTGCTGCTCCTCGGCTTGGGTTTCGCTCCTGACTCTTCTCCAGTTTTCTCCCCAGTCTCCAAGGGTGTTGATTTTAATTGCTTGACTCATTTAAGCATCTTGGGAGACTGTAACAGATTAGTTAGCAGTCCCAGCCTGCTGCTGGCTTCCCTTCTCCCAGTGTCTTGCCCACACACCCGAAGTAACCGGAAACGTTCACTGCTCCATAATGAGGCTGGGATTCCTTTCTGTGCAGCCCGAAGACATAAAAGGCTGCCCCTTAACATCAACTCCTGCTTTCCTCCTCTGCCCACTGCACGCTCTCTGTTGACTGACTTTAGAAAACAAGCAAATGTTACCCCAGCTTCCCAGATGCACAGTCCTGTTGTTGAGCAATCTTACAACAATTTACTATGTAAGATGCCCAAAACAACCCCTCTCCCCCACCCACACACTGTATGTCAAAACAAAACACTTTGGGCATCCTCTCTTTGCTTTGAAAATTCATTTGTGGGCCTCCCTGGTGGCGCAGGCGGTTGAGCACCATGCTGTGAAGCTGCCCGCAGCCTCTGCAGAGCAGGTTCGATTCCCAGCCGGCCAGGGAGAAACCCACATGGCGCGGCAGACCTCTCCTGACTTGCCTGCTGCTCCCCTCAGCAGTGTATTTCACTCAGTCTGCCTGTTCTGCTCCCCACTCTGTCTATAGTGAATCCTCTCACCCTCCCATGCATCTGGCCTGTACCCCGGTTCTTGTATAAATAAATCTTTAAAAAAATTGATTTGCTCAATCACATATTTAATAAAGTACATACCACTTATTTTGTCTGGCAGTATTTAATGGAATAATTTATACACACAGAAAGATGCACCCAGCCACAGATGTCATCGAATAAAGGAAGGTTTGTAATAATGGCCTGTAGTTGAACATTGAGATTTTGCGATGCCTTGTTAAGAAAAACAATAGGGCTTATTAACTCATTTGCCTTCCTTATGAACTCTGCTTTTTAATTGACTAAGCAAATACCCAATTAGAGTACTAATTTGTTAAGGTCATGCATTAGCTGAAAAGAAAAGACAAAATCTATAGCAGAAGCTGGGAACCCCCAAAGGCTTATCTTGCTTGCGTTAGGAAGTGATATCTTTGAAATAAGATGATGACAATCTGTCCCTTCATTGATTAAAGGTAAATGACTGAAACTTAGAGCCTGTGCAGCTACGTCAGTCTTTACCAGAAGGGAGAATGGCTCAGACAGTGCTGCGCTCAGCTCTCTCTCAGTTGTTCCATAATATCTGCTTTTCCACATTATTCCCAGAAACACCAAGTTTATGGGTTTTCTATGGATGCTTTCAGAAAGTTCAACTGGTATAAACAAAACTGTGGTTGTGTAGACCTAGACATTCTCAGAGCAAAAGTAACCAAAAGTTGACAAATAAGGTTCTTGTGAAGGAATCTGCGGTTTACAACAAAGTTCACGTTAAAATAACTGTCATTTATTATATTTAAGTTCTAAAGTTTGATTGAAGGTGAAAATATACTTTTTTATAAAGGAATGGAATCTGAGAAATATATTAATAACGAACATATTAATAAGCTTCTTAATAAAACATCCAGAAGAAAATTTAGAAAAATATCAACCAGATATTTGATGGATGGATTCTGTATATCCCTGTTTTTATCTGAGTTCATAGTTTTCAGTAAATATTTGCCTTTTTAATATGATTTTTCCTTTCAACTAGTCCTCTGGAGACATCACAGATTTTCTCACTTTTGCAAGAGTTGATCATGACATTTTGCTTCTTTTCACTTAAAACTTTTTAAGGTTTTTGAGCTGTTGTAGTGGACAGTAGTTAGAGAAAACCACACAGAGACTGTTGATTGTTCACCAAAGCAGATTCCTCTTCTTCCAGGGCTGGAAGTTCACAGTCAAGGGGTTGGTGGGATCCTTCCTTGCTTCCTCTAGCTTCAGGTGGTCACTGCTAATTCTTAGGGCATGTGTGGTTTCCAAGGTCCTGTTGACATAAGAAGCGGCCATGAGACTAAGAATCAGCCAAGGGAGGGGGCGTAGAGTTGGCCTCTGGGCCTGTCCTCCAGGAGCCTCCATAAGTTCTTCTCCACCTTCTTTCTTTCCTTTTCTACCAGATTAGATACAAATAAGTGCAGGACCCTGACAAAGCCTGGATTGAAAATGGAAGAGTCATAAGAGAGGGAAACTGCGCCCCCCCCCCCAATTACTGCTTGAAAGAACACTTCCAACTTCAGGAATATCCATTTATGTAATCAAGGCATACATTTTCTTGTGCATTAAAGATGTTTGAATCTGGGCCTCCCTGGTGGCACAAGGGGTTAAGATGCAAGCGATGAAGCTATACGCAGCCACTGCAGCACGAGTTCAATCCCCGGCCAGGGAGCATCCCACATGGCGCAGCAGACCTCTCCTGACTTGCCCTGCTCCCCTCAGCAGTGTATTTCAGCCAGTCTGCCTGTTCTGTTCCCCACTCTGTCTCTAGTGAATCATCTCACCCCCCACATCTCTGGCCTATACCCCAGTTCTTTTATGAATAAATTAAAAAAAAGATGTTTGAATCTATATGTTAGTACAAAATACAGGGCATTCTCCAGCATGTAAAATACTTCTTCTTTGGAGTGTATATGTGGAGACAGATCCTCACCTTGTCCCTGACAGCTGAATGCAGATTATGAGATAATTCTTCTCTCTGGCAGGGAGGGCCTGGGCATGTGGCCCCACCTAGCCCCAGATGCTCCTGCCGGGGCCTTTGGCAAGAAAGTGATGAGCTCAGTTGCTCTTGCTTCTTTGTTTTGAACAAGGATCTGTGACTGTCTCTGCAGAACTAATTTTCCTATTAGGTTCTACCATGGAGTCTTCTATGGCACCTAAGCAACAGGTGACCATCTCCAGGTGAAGGTGCAAAGAGGTACTTCAGAGATCCTAGCCATCTATCTACAAAAATATGGTGCTATTTCTATCAAAATTAGTAAGTTTAGGTTTAAAGTGTGCCTAAGGAACTGTCTCACTTTCTCCCTATTTTTGTTGCAACAAAACAACTTATTGTTTTTATTTTTAAAGATTTCTTTATGTATATAAGAACTGGGGTGGGGAATAGAACAGGTGGATTGACCGAAATACACTGCTGAGGGGAGCAGCGGGCGAGACAGGAGAGGTCTGCTGCGCCATGTGGGTAGTTCCCTGGCCGGGGATTGAACTTGTGCTGCAGTGGCTGCTGATAGCTTCACAGTGCTGCAACTCAACCCCTTGCATCACCAGGGAGGCCTTCAACCTATTATTTTTTTAGCACTCACAAGCTTAGGCCAAAAGAATTCTTTTACCATAAAGAATTCATTTTCTAACTTTTGCCCTCTTCTGAATCTGTCTAGAATGGAAGATTTAAATCTGCTAAAGGTTTTTATTAACAAAAGTAGTACATTTGCTTTTCCATCGTTGTTACTTCTTTCTTACTCCTCACCCTGAAATAAGTGGCAGCGTGAGGAGTAAGAGGTTTCTAAGGGAGTAGGCACGGCTTTGACATGGGTTAATGAAAGTTTGGAATTTTGGCAAGCATGGGAGACTTGAATTTTGATGAACATTCACAGTTGCCAATTAGTTTAACTGTAATAACATTTATTTTGCCAGATGTTGTGTTGTGCTAAGGACACAGAAATAACACATTTTTATCTCCAAGAAATCATAGTCTGGAGGAGGACACATACACACAATAAGATGTGTGCAAAATGGTGTGGCGGTGTTGCGTGCAGGTGGATGCATTAGTGACCCATACAGAGGTGGTTCCTGTAACAAATGGCCACAACCTTGGTGGCTTAAAACAGGAGAAATGCAGGGGCCTCCCCTGGTGGTGCAGGCGATTAAGCGCTGTGCTGTGAAGCTGTCCGCAGCCTCTGTAATGCGGGTTCCATCACGGCCGGCCAGCGAGGGTCCCACATGGCACAACAGACCTCTCCTGTCTCGCCCGCTGCTCCCCTCAGCAGTGTACTTTGGTCTGTCTGCCTGTTCTGCTCTCTGCTCTGTCTCTGGTGAATCCTCTCACCCTCCCCCACATCTGGCCTGTACCCTGGTTCTTGTATAAATAAATAAATAAATCTTTAAAACAAAAAAAAACCCAGGAGAAAGGCATTCTATCATGGTTCTGGGGGCTGGAAGTTCACAGTCAAGGGGTTGGTGGGATCCTTCCTTGCTTC